GAAGCACCAAAATGATTAGCCAGGTGTGAAATTGTGTAGTTTTTGGACTATTTTACATAAGTGACCATTCCTGATTGTTGAGCTTATACAATTCAATGTGTTTGTGAAAGTCTTGAATCCAAACTTTGAGAGGGTCTTTTTAAATGTTATCTTGATCTTGAGAAATTCAATACACTAATCCAACTATATTTTTGGTGAAGAAACCTAGAAAAAATTGATGAACGGCAATCATTTTCATGCATTTTCCATAATGTGATGTAAAAATAAGCAAATTCAAACCTGTCCAAGCAAACAATAAAGCACACATCATATTGAAGGGCATTAATGCCTAGACACCCTATCGTGGTGCTTAGGTGTTGCATCAATTCATAAAATACATCCTTAGACTGAAATAGGTTTGAGCTTCCTCACTTAAATTTGGCACCCAATTACCAATGCTAGTGTCTATGCACTATAGAGATTTTAGAACCTTCAGTTCTGAAAAGGACCCCAAGTCGCTTAAACTGTAGCTCATGTGACAACTCAAGCACCAATGCGCCCTAATCTCGTGCCTAAATCCAACTTACAATTGACTTGAATGTCCTAACGAGAAGCCAAGTAACTCTACCTGAAGAAGGTTGTCACTTGCGGTGAGAGGTTCAACACTCTTACAGTCACTCCGAGCACTCCTCCTACCATCACTCCTCCTGCACCTGCTCCCTCGCAGGCACCACCAAATTCCTCCTCTGTTGAGTCAGGCCCCTCGACTCCTGGACCTTAGATAGCTGACTCCTACGACAGAGTGTATATTGTGCCAGAAGGAGAGCCATAAGTCAATTTTTTTTACATTATAGTAAGTTCAATATTCATCTCGATTTGAGTTGTAATTAATATTTCAATTTTAGGTTCTTTCCTTCTAAGCTGCTCATGACATACATCACAGAGGTCATCCTGAGTCAGCATGATCAATCGTTTCTCCCCTGGAAACAGATCCTGATTGCGATTCAGAACATGTGATTTCAGGAGTTCTATATGATATTTTTATTTTGAAATAGCATGTTAATTCCTACTATATTTATACCAATCAAACATATATAATTTCTAATTTATAGAGGTTATTCTATTGGTCTTCGCAACATCAACACCAGATCTAACAAATTTTTGAGGTTCTTGGTAGGCATCGACTCGAGGATTTGTTCACCACAGAGCCACTCCGAAATACTAGAGGAAATGATAGGCAAACTAGCAAACTCGGACGTTCAAGGGAGCCAGAGGGGCCACACTCCACATTGAAGTTTCGATCCCCCCACACAGAGCACTACCAGAGACTAGTAAGATTATCTCAAAATTAAGAGGTTTAACAATTTTTGTAATTATGTGATTCATACATATATTTATCTGATCATGGGTACAGGTCAAACAACTTGACCGAGAGCCATCTACTATAGAGTTACATGTCTTCTCACATAGGCGCCCGGGCACACAGCAGTAGGTCTCCGACCACTCTTAGTCTGTCAATGTAAGTTAAGAAATTTAAATTTATATCGTGGCTATTAATATTTAAAATGATAATTAATGTTTGAGTTATGTTATGTAAGAGGAGTGCGAGCAGTTCAGAGAGAGAAAGAGGGAGATGGCTAGCCAGACCTCATTATCTGCTAGCAGTAGTGGTAGCCAATCTACCACAACTTAGTCTGATTTTGAGCTATGGACATAGGCATCGGGGAAGAAGAATGTGAGGTTGTACGACCTAGACTCAAACGACATAGCATTTGAGGCCAAATGCTCTCATGTAGCTGTGGGTGACCTTAGCTTGTTATAGTCTCAGCATGAGAAGCTTGCCAGGTAAGTCAAGTTGATGAATGAAGAGGTTTGGTAGATGCGTGAAGGCCGGTAGAGGATTGAAGATGGTCTAGCATGTATGATGGAGAGTTTTGATCTTCAGAGCAAGCATCATATGAGTGTTGTCAACGAGGACATGGAGGAGGAGAAGCGGGAGAAGGATGAGGGGTAGAATTAGGATTTTTTTTTATGTGTTTTTTGATGATCCCCGCCGTAAGGGATAATTATTTTTTATTTTTATTTGTGTTTAAGTGAACTATCAGTTCAAGTAGTTGTGAACTTAATTTAAACACTTAGAACAACTTTTCTTTAATTTAATTTTGTATCATTCTTTAGACATGTTGGTGATTTCCTTTTTCAGTTATGATGATAGATAAATATGATATTATAATGTTTGCGTTTGCTATATGCAGGTATGTGGAAATCTAATCGTTTTGCTACATTTTTTTTCTTATAGGTTTATGTCAAATTACCATAAAAAATCCGACGAAAATTATAATTAACAGCTCGATACATGTCACAATTAGTTCGACACAAATTTACATCCACCCTGAAGTTGACGCTAATTTGTGTCGACGCTAGTTTGCATCGACAACGGCGGATGCAAATTCAACGTTAAAATTCTATTGAGTGAATTGCGAATGAAAATTCACAATGACAGATTTTCTCGATACTAGTTCAGATGCAAATAAAAATCTGACGCAAATGTCGACGCAAACTCAATTAGCGACGTTCATTTTAACATTAAATCTTCATTTGTATCCGATATATGTCCAATTAGCATCGGAATCTAAAAGTGTCCCCTAGTGTCTTATTACAATAGCTAAAATCGCTATGAAGTATAAAATAAAATTAAAACTATTTAAGAAAAAAAAAAAGGAGGAGAAAACTCTACCAAAGAGAACAAGACTCACATGGAAGAACCCAATGCTCTCCAATATGGAAATCAACTTTCCACCATGTTTCCTGAGAACTTCTCTTGTATACCACCTTCATATAAAGACAATGACAAACAAACTCTTCATCACTCGGATAGAATCTTAACCCCGGAGGTAGAGATGGTCCTACTTGGACTTCCCTTCATGCCATACCTTTGGATTAAGTGAAATAGAAAGCCAACATCCTAGAAATTATGCTTTTCACCTCATTATTTAAAAATAAGTGAAATAATGTAAAACTTCCTTGTTGTTAAACATCATGAAATAATTTAAGCCATGATTGAATGAGTCAAAATCCAGGCACCATTAATTTGCTCTTACCATTTGCAGCATGATTGGCTAAATTTGTAAACTTTAAACATTCAATTTTCAGTCAGAGGTTGGTGAAAGTTTCTATAGGAAGCGCAAGGAAAGCTCTGTTTTAGTAGTTTTTGAGGATTTGTCTATCTTTTTTGTAAGAAAAGTTCAGTCAATATTAAATAATAGGAAGGCAAAGTGCAAAAAATATTTGTCTATTAGCAGTCCACATCAATGTAAATTTCATATTTATTTCCACATTCTTAATGTCACCCAACAGGAATAATTTGGCTGACGCCACCACTTTAACTTTTTTTTTTCTTTCTTATATCTTAACAATGAAGAAAACATAATTTAATATACAAATAAAGTCATAGAAACGACCGTTGACATGAAAATTATTTAAAATTAATTAAACAAATTGATCAACCAAGATGGTTTAAATATTAACCAACTAGAGTTTAGGGGGATGGTTTAGTTTCATCTTCACAATGTTATTCAAGAGGGCAAAATGATTGATATGGTTTGCATTATCACATGCTCAAAAATATTAATAACTATATATTTCTATATATTAGTTGTACTAAATACTAGGTTTTTATGATGATGGGGCTAGAAATATGTACAAATGTATAAGAATAAGAGCCTCAAATATTTTGAACTTTTTTTAAAGCAAAATAATATTTTTATTAATGGGCTACCAACTTAACGTTCTATTTTTATAAATCAATCTATGGCCTGATTGGGCTCCTAAAACATTATTTCAAGAAAGATTCCTTGTCTAAGATGAATTTAGAATGAACCAAACACGAGTCGAGCCTAAGCTCACTCAAGCTCATCTTTTTTAAAGCTATATAAG